AAACTAATACTATTATCTAACATACATAACTACATACTATATAATAATAAGAAAAACACTCATATATAAGTTGCATATAAGTACAAATTTGATGAAATTTGAATTTGTAATCTCTACAAAGACTTATAGTTTAATAAAATGGTAGTTTGGTGTACGAAACGTTTAGTATTTATGTAGGGTCCGAATAAAAGACGTACTTTACATGATATTGTTATAGTTTATTAATATCAGTGAAAAAAATTTCACAGGATGAGTGTGAATTTTATTTTCGCTGCCCCTACTCTTTCCCAATCAAAAAGTTATTTAAGAACGAAAATGTAGTCTACAACACGAACAACACCAATAACATATCTAAGATAATGTGATGCAGATTTTATCTTTATCTTATGAAGGCAAAGAAATTATTTCCGATAATAACGAAATTATTGGCTCTTAAAAAGATTTTCTTGGACTTAGTTAAGTACATAACTTATTAGATGCCATAGAGTAAATAACGACCAGAGTATGGGACAACAATAATTTATTACCTATTGGCATTGAATGTGCCAATGTGGTATTTTATTTTACTTTAGATTTAGATAAAGTCCAACGGACCTTTCAGTTTATCAAAAAAAAAAAAAAACGGGGGGGGGGGGGGAAGGGGTGGGGTGGGGGCGAATTCACAATATCAGAAAATACGAGGGGCAATTTGCTTAATTGATCACATGAAATAAAAAACATGGTGATGGAATGACTTCCCTTAAGTAAATGTGGGACCCAACTAAAAAGGTAGGACCCAACAGCCAGCTGGCATGTGATGTTACTATTATGTAGCCAGGTGTACGAGACAGTGAAGCAAGTGACGCGTCCACCGACGGGGTTGAGATCGGCGGCATAAGCCGAGCTACGAATTTGGTCACATAATGTATTTGTATTAAAAAATTATTAAATATATATAAATATTAAATTTATAACTCAGTTATTAGTGTTTGAAATCGTTGTTCTAATACTCAGAACTTATAAAATTAAAATTTTGGCTCCGTTTATGCAAATTAGTCCAGTATTATTCAATGTACTGATTGATTAGTGCTATGTGTACATTTAAAACGTGTAAGGCTGGATTCAACTTAGTCACATTGACAACTTTGGAATATTAGATGGTTAAGAAAAAATTAACTACGCGTACATTCATATTGCATTTTATTCAGACTGTTGAGGAGGGAAGGAAAATATAAGTAGGGTAATTCAAAGCTTGTTGAAATTTGAAAATGCTTATTTTTCATACTTGAATTTGGTGATTTATATATCCTAGACGAAAAAAGGTCCAAAATATCCCTAACATATCAAAATGGCTTAAATTTGCCCTCCTTTTACTTATTGGGCGACAATTGCCTTTAATATTAATTTTAAGTGAATGTGAAACATCGAAAGAACGGGGGGACAAACAAATTTTAAGTTTGTGAAAGCTTTTTGAAGTTTGTTCATTTTTAGGATGTGAGACCATTATTAAATTGATTTAGCTATACACTTTGTTTGGAGGTTGGTGGAACTGTATAGAGAGAGGAAGAAGGATCTGCACATGGTGTTTATTGACCTAGAGAAGCGTATGACAAGGTTCCTAGAGAAGTTCTCTGGAGATGCTTGGAGGCAAAAGGTGTGCCTGTCCCGTACATTATGGCAATTAAGGACATGTACAATGGGGCTAAGACTCGGGTCAGGACAGTAGGAGGAGACTCTAACCATTTTCCGGTTGTAATGGGGTTACACCAAGGTTCTGCACTCAGTCCATTCTTATTCGCCTTAGTGATGGACACGTTGATGCACCATATTTAAGGGGAGGTGCCATGGTGCATGCTATTCGCCGATGACATAGTTCTGATTGATGAGTCGCGAGCCGGTCTTAACGAGAGGCTGGAGGTTTGGAGACATGCTCTTGAGTCTAAGGGTTTCAAGCTGAGCAGGACGAAGACGGAATACCTGGAGTGTAAGTTCAACGCTGAGCCGGGGAAGTGGGCGTGGATATGAGGCTTGAATCACAGGTCATCCCAAGTAGAGGCAGCTTCAAGTACCTTGGGTTGGTTATCTAGGGGGGAGGGGAGATCGACGAGGATGTCACACATCGTATTGGGGTAGGGTGGATGAAATGGTGGTTAGCGTCTGGAGTTCTATGTGATAAGAGAGTGCCGCCGATTCTCAAAGGTAAGTTGTATAAAGCGGTGGTTAGACCGGCAATTATGTATGGGGCTGAGTGTTGGCCTGTTAAGAACTCACATATCGAGAAGATGAAAGTAGCAGAAATGAGGATGTTGAGGTGGATGTGCGGGCACACTAGGATGGATAAGATTAGGAATGATGACATTTGGGAGATGGTGCACGTAGCTCCCATTGATGTCAAGATGCGGGAAGCGAGACTCAGATGGTTCGGGCATGTTCAGAGGAGAAGCCTAGATGCTCCGGTAAGGAGGTGTGAGCGGCTAGTTGTGGAGGGAACGAGAAGAGGTAGAGGATGGCCTGAGAAGTATTGGGGAGAGGTGATCGGACATGATATGGCGAGGCTTCAGATTTCCGAGGACATGACACTTGATAGGAAGTTGTGGAGGTCGAGCATTAAGGTTGTAGGTTAGGAGGTAGTTGAGTCTTGCTTTACTAATACCGTTGTGAGACTAGTCTGGTAGGGTTTTTGTCTAAGATAGCTAGTGGCAATATTGTGTCTTACTATTTTTCAGTGCATGGCCTATTTACTAGCTATCGGTTTTGCTTTGCATCTTTCTTCCATATTTCATGTTGTTCCTATTTTTCTTATGACTTTCTTATGATTTCTGTGGTGATACTAATATTGTCTACATTTGTCTTTTGTTCTCTTGAGCCGAGGGTCTTTCAGAAACAGCCTCTCTATCCCTTCGGGGTAGGGGTAAGGTCTGCGTACTCACTACCCTCCCCAGACCCCACTAGTGGGATTTCACTGGGTTGTTGTTGTTGTTTATACCAATACTTGTTGAATTGAACTGTAAGATTTCCATTGTTGTAATCATAGCTTATTGTTATAGCATATCAAGGAGGAAGAATTCTCGAGTCGTCATTACCCGAGGTGATCCACAAAGCAGAAATACTCGTAACCAAAGGACTGACGGGAGCCGTGTCGAGGTGACGACAAAGGGAATGCTCTAGCAAATGTTCTCTTTGGTTTGTACTATTAGGATTTGTTGGAAATGTGTCTCATATATATAGAAAGATCATAAATTTAATTATTTGAACCAAGGATTACATCTTTTTGGTCAAACAATTTAGCGTCGTCTGTGGGATTTCCTAGTTAAATTTTTAGTTTCTTCTAGATCTATTACTGACACGAATCACTGACGTAAAAAGAAAAGAAGCAAGAACAAGATTTCCTTTCTTTGTGTGCACAAATCCCAATATGGCAGGTAACAGGGAAGAGGGGACGAGGATAATAGTTGACCTCCTAACCAATCTCACAAACGTCATTAATGAAAGCTTTGAAACAGCAACGGAGACGCAATGCCCCATGCCTCCCCCAAGCGAGGTGGATCACCTCCTCCTCGCTGATGCATCACCAAATCTCTGGGTAAGGGAGCCTCCACGTCTGTGGCAGAGGAGACACCCCTAGCCGCAAAAAAGTTCCTTGAGGCGTGAGTAGCTGACACACTAACCAGCGTCTTCCATAAGCCTGCCCGGGATACGGATACAAAAAATGCAAGAACTTGCTTTATACAACCAGTGAACGAGCAGCACACACAACTCCATCCTCCTCTAACAACATGTATAATTCACAATGTCGTTAATAGTGCAGGCGACGATGCTCTCGCAGCCATTCTGAAAAGGATGGAGGAAATGGAGAATGAGAACAGATCACTCCGGGACCAAATGAGAGAATAGCAAGAAAGGGTCGATAAGATACCAGGCTCCCCTAAGCTTTTGCCGAAGAGAGATGTCAGTTGATTCGTCGAGCAGTTATAGTTAGAGCCGTCAAAATGGGCTTGGCCTGTAAGGCCAGGCAAACCCAGCCCGCTACTTGGGTGGGGTTGGGTTGGATTTTATTTAGCCCATTTAAAACTGAGGTTTCTAAAACCGCCCAAGTCAGCCCGTTGGCCCTTGAGGCGTGACCGAGGCAAGGCCTGGGCTAGCCCGTGGGCCAAAAATTAATTAAATTGAATCTACCGGCTATTTTTAGTTTAAGCGATTGGGTGGGTGGTTACTTGGGTTAATTCTTCTTTAAATATTTAATATTTTAAAAAAGTAAAAACTAAAAAAAAAACTAACAACTTTAATCCCCATTCCCCAACATTAGATTACTCATATATCCATCCATAACAACTAGAAGATAAATTTTTAACATGCATGTAGTATGACCAGATTAGTGTTTCTTTTGCTTAATTAACAACCAACTAGGAAAGTTTAAGTGGCCAATAATAATTTTTTTCAAAAAAAAATATACTTAAGCGGTCAATGATCAGTTTGGTTACTTTAATATATTATTAATAATAAAATTATTCTGCGGCATAGAAAAAGGTCAAATTTTAATATCCAAAGAAAATTGACAATACTAGCAAATTTTATGGACTATCCTAAATTACAAAACCTCAACAAATAAATTTATTGAAGCAATTCCTAAACCTAAGGAAAGTGAAAGAAAAATATTAAAAAAATATTCATGTAACGTTAAAATAGAAGAGTTAGAGATATAGAGAATTTGTATTCCAGTTACGAGACTCCTAGTCAAATATCAAGATTCATGTACGCTCTAACCAAATTGAAGTCGTTCATAACGAAGAAATCATTTTTTCTAAAAAAAATTGAAGAGTCGGCACACCCTAGCCCGCGGCCCTCTTAGGGTTCGGTTGGGCTGGCCATTTTAAGGCCCATTTAGATAGAGGGCTTGCCCGGTCTAGCCCACCAAACTTAAAGCCCGTGAGGCTTGGGTCGGGTTGGGTTGGGCTGGCCCGTTTTTATAGCTCTACTTATAGTGATGACGTCCCCCACATGCCATACCAAAAACCTTTGAAATGCCACCCTACCTCAGGATAGATGATAGCACGACCGACCCTGAAGATCACGAGACTCACTACGTCACCGCCGTGAAGGGCAATGACCTTGCCAAAGAACAAGTGTCTTCCAGTTTGTTGAAAAAATTCGGTGAAACCCTCACAGGAGGAGCGTTAACATGGTATTCGCAACTGCCTGCTCGCTCCATTGAAACTTTTGAAGAGATGGGCGACAAGTTCGTAACAGCCTATGTTGGGGCCAAGAAGGCCCAGGCGAGAGTGAACGACATATTTGCTATTAAACAGTCTCTGGGAGAGGGACTGAGGGACTTCCTCGCTCGGTTCAACCGAGTAAGGATGACCCTGCCTAACATGTCAGAAGGGATGGCAGTTGCAGCCTTTCATACCGGGCTGAGCAGGGATGGTTCGAGGGAAACTAGAAAGCTATTCCGACTGATGAAGTACCCCCTAATCACTTGGACTGAGATACACAACGCATATTGTGCCGAGGTCCGAGCAGATGAGGACGACCTCAATGGACCAACTCATCGACTGACCTCGGTACAGGCCGAATCTAGAAATGATTCACCAAGCGGGCGAGCACCTTCACTCAGTAGTCACCTCACCTTGGCCATTCATCAAATGGGAAATGAACATCGTGGGCCCTCTCCCAGTTGGGTGAGGTAACGTACGATTCCTTTTGGCTCTAACTGACTATTTCTCTAAGTGGTGGAAGCAGGAGCATTCGTCCAAATACGTGAACAAGAAGTTATCACCTTTATATGGAGAAACATCATATGCTGGTTCGGCTTTCCCAAAGAGATCAACTGCGACAACGGACCCTAGTTCACGGGAAAGAAAACTGTCGAGTTCTTTGAAATATGGCACATCAAAAGAATATTCTCGACACCATATCACCCCGCGGGCAGCGGGCAAACAGAGTCCTCTAACAAGTCAATATTGAACATCATGAAGAAAAAAGCTCGAAGACGCCAAGGGACTAAGGCCGGAAATACTACCAGAAGTATTGTGGGCCTATCAAACAACACTGAAGACGAGCGCAGGAGAGACGCACTACTCTTTCGTCTATGGGCCGATGCAGTAATACCAGTCAAGGTTAGAAAGCCCAGCCTAAGGTACTCCCATGAAAGCGGACCGGGAAACGACGAAAGCAGAAGGCAAGAGCTCGATAAAGTCGAAGAGCGAAGAGACGTGGCCTACATAAGGATGATCGCACTTGTAATAAGCAAGCAAAGTTTAGGCGACTCAAAGTCAGGGACTACGTGCTTAAAGCTAAGATGCAAGCGAGCAAAGACCCACGGGAAGGCAAGCTAGGAACAAATTGGTACGTCCCTTACAAAATCACGGCAAAGGCGAACAAAGGGTCATTCCAACTAGAAACAATGGAAGAAAAGATACTACCAAACAACTGGAATATCACCCACCTCAAGTACTTCAACTTGTAAGAGATAAAGCATGCCCAAGACGTACTATTTTTTCCCTCTCTTGAGTTTTGTCCCAATTGGGTTTTATCAAGGAGGTTTTTAACCAGGCGATGAAGGGGATACTCCAAGTCGAAATACACAAGCATGGGGCTAGGACGGCTAGTTCATTGCTCGACCTCTCTAGTACTCTCCAGGTCAACCAATGAAGGGACTAGATAGACTGGGACTGGAACCCCACCCAATGCCAAAAAAGTGTGAATTCCTCCAAATGTATGACCAAAGCAACGATTCTTAAAAGTTTATGATTTCGACAAACTTCGCACTTACAGGCCCTCGGTCATAATTAATTTAGGTTATGTTTGACCTTGTTCGAGCTAACACCTACCGGCCATCGGCCATAATTAAACTTAGGTTATGTTCGACCTTTTTCGAATTAACACCTACCGGCCCTCGACCATAATTAATCTTGGGTTATGTTTGACCTTGTTCGAACTAACTCCTACTTGACCTCGGCTAGAATTAAATTTAGGTTATGTTCGACCTCGCTGGAACTAACTCCTATTGGCCCTCAGCCATAATTAAATTTAGGTTATGATCGACATTGTTCCAACTAACACCTACTTAATTCTCAGCCATAATTAAAAATTTGATCGAACAAACGCCTACCAACCTCTGACCGCTATCCGCGATTAAGTGATTACAGATAGAAAATTCAAGGCAACCAAGCGACAGAAGTAAAAAAAACATACAAATGCAAAACAAACCATAGGAAGAGAATCAGATACAAAAAACGAAGTTCGCATTTCATACTTGAAATATTTTTTAAAAATCATGAAGACGCCACAAACTACATGCAAAAAATATACAAAAAATCAAAAGAGAAAGTTACTGGCCACCACCATCATGGCTTTCAAGACCCCCGCCGAGTTCGCCTCCAACAACGTCATCCCCTTGACCACCAACACCCTCACCCTCGCCGCCATCGCCCTCAGGATAAGCAACACCATACTAGGCATTCTTCTTGAGTTGGTCTACACCCTCGTCCCCCTCTTCGTCACCGGCCTCTAGCGTAGAGGGGTCATACCCATAAGCGACTCGAGCTTCACAAGCCTTAATACAAGCGCCTCGAAGGTAGCATCACAAATGGTTCCTTCCGTGTGCAAATATCTAAACACATTAACTGGGCCTCGGCATAAATCCACTCCTCACACAACTCTCGAGGAATGTTAGGAAATTCTGAAGCATGGGAAGAGGATGGCTATGCAGTAATCGGGCCTTTTCGACCTCTAGAGCAACAACTCGATCGTGGAGGCCAAAATTCTCTTTCTCTAGTTCTCCAATCCTCTCATCAAGTCACTCTTCTTTAAGCCTAGCTGTCTCCAAGTCATTTTCTCGCTCAGAATGGAGAGTCCGGATCACTACCTCAAGAGCCGCCGTTTTCCTTAAAGCCCCCGATCGAGCAAACTCTGCCTTCTCAAGATCCTCTGCCTTCTCAGGGAACTCGCCACTTAGAGAATCCGCTCTGAATTAACACTCCTCAAGGTGGGCGCGCAGTGAAACCACCTGAGCTTGGAGATCGCTGTACTGGGCTTCGACCCCCTTGCTGACTTCAAGCCTTTCCTCCTTGCCTCTCAACGTCCCTTCAAGGACATTGCATTTCTCACGACCCTCACCAGCTTGACATCCTTCTGTTTCAACTCATCATGAAGGGCCTGCAAGTTTACGCCCTCGCCAAAATGCCTAAATATCTCTCGGTACTTGCCGCGGTACTCAAAATACTTGCGCTCCAACTTCTCAAAAATTTTATTATGCTTTTCCTCCCTTTGAGCGCTCTCAATCTCCAAGATCATGGTCTGCAGTCATGAGAGAGAAGAAGAGCAAAAATGAGAACGTCTCTGCCAATAAAGGCAAAACACTAAACAAGAAAAAACACTAGAAAAACGAAGCCCTAAAATACTCACCCTGGGGGAAAGGCTGGCTATTCTCCTCGATAGAGTAACATCGTCCAGTTCACTGAGGGTTTCACCTTCTACATCGGAGTAGAGGGAGACGAGGGAAGGGACCACGTTCTCCGTATTTTTAATAGATCACGATCCATGGGCATCGCAATGGTCCTCGTAAACCCCTCCAACCTCACCTCGAGTTGGGTGAACCCCTCCTTCATTATCCTTAGTTCGGAGACATCAACGTCCAAACGTGTCTCATAACCATCCTCGCTAACGCCTTTGCCTCTCCTATCAGACGGCAAAGAAGTATCATCGGCCGGCTGCGAGGTCGACGGTCCCCCTTGCCGTAAAGAATCAGAAACCACACCGGCCGACTCTTCGGCCTCCGTCGTCACAGAGGGGAATGACTTACCTTCATCGGCCTCTGCCGATCTTGGAACCTCAGATGCTAGTGCGACGTCGTCTTCAAGAACGATGGTCGTTGTCTCATGAAGAGTGAAGTCATTCATTATAGATTCCATGACACGGGCAACCCCGTCGCTAATATCCACTGATCTCCTCTTGTGGGGCATCAGGTCTCCATCACCTGGCAACGATTCCTCCTCTTCGTCCACAAGAGGGTACAAAGGGGAAGCGAAAGCTCCGCTGCCGAAGTATTCGCAGCTGAAGGAATTGATGTTGTAGCAACATGTGGGATCAAGGAGCGAGCAGAATCGACCGCGGTTGTAGAAGGAGCAGAAGCCGAAGAGGCAACAACTTTCCTCTTACGAAATGCAGAGCCTTCGGCCTCCTCGAGGACCCTTGGGCTGGAGTTAAGAGAAGTGTAAAAGAAAAAAGATCAACCAAAATAAACTGCAAAAGGTAAGCGACTAAGAGGCCAAAACAAAGAAACTCACCGGTTAAGGAAGGAGCATGCCCAAACTTCTTAAAAAAGCCCGGCCACTCGCGGATTCACGCAATGTGAGGGAGCCAGCCGACCCAATCGAAAATGTCCCCGGCCAAAGGAGGGGGTGTAGTCTTGGATGCATAAGAAAGGAGCAACAGATCAGAACAAAGTGAATTAAATGCCTCAACAAAGAGAGGGTAGACGCTTACGAGTATAATTCTAGGTTTCAGGGAAGTCGTCTGCATTGGCCACCCACGTCCTCAGTTTTGACGAAGAAGAAATTGTGCCAGAACTGGCGGTTAGCCTTGTCATCCATCTTCACCACCAGGCACTTGCCCCCTGTGATGATCCAAAAGGTCATCACTTGCTTTTAAATTTAATTCTGTGTTTCCGAGGCCTTGAAAACCTCATTTATCTTCACCTCGATTTGTGTGTGCAGTCCGGGCGTGTAGCTGGAAAGTTTAAATGAGAAAATCTGTGAAAAATGATAAATTTTAACTATAAAAAGAATTAATTTGACTTCGGTCAACATTTTTTTGAAAATATGGGACTTGGGCGTATGCCCGGAATCGAATTCCGAGGTCCCAAGCCCGAGAAATGAATTTTTAAAGAAAATTATTTTCTGAAATTTGTTTAAAGGATTTTGAAATGAAATTTGATTTGAACATGTTGGTATCGGGCCCGTATTTTGGTTCCGGCGCCCGATAAAGGTCTTATATATGATTTAAGATGATTCTATGAAATTTGGTGAAAAACGGAATCCGTTTGACGTGATTCGGAGATAAAATGGAAAATTTGATGCTTTATGAAGTTTGAGAAAATTTCTTTGATTTTGAGGTTTAATTCATTGTTTGAGAGGTTATTTTGGCGATTTGATCGCATGGATAAGTTTGTATGATGTTGTTGAGTTAGTACGTGTGTTTGGTTAGGAGCCCCGAGGGCTCGGGTGTGTTTCGGATGTGTTTCGGGAAGTTTTGGACTTAAGAAAAGTTGCAGGAACACTGTTGTTGCACCAGTTCTGGTGTAACCGCACCTGCGGTCCTTTGGCCGCAGATGCGGACACGCAGGTGCGCACAGTGGGTCGCAGATGCGGTCTAGCTTCGCAGATGCGGACATTTTTCCGCAGATGCGATTCCGCAGGAGCGGGCCTTTTTCTCGCAGGTGCGGCCCCAGCGGGGCCTAGCCATTTCCGTAGAAGCGCCCACTTTTTCGCACGTGCGGTGGCGCAGATGCGACCCCTGAGCCGCAGATGCGGAAGTCGGGCAATGAGTCTTTTTAAAAACATAACTTCAGCGATTTTCTTTCAAACTTTCACAAAAATTAGAAGGACTAGGGCGATTTTCTCAAGAGGTTTTCTTACCAAATCACAAGTAAGCACTCATTAACTGATATCTTTCAACTATCTAATATTTTTCATCAACTTTTATCAATAATTCTAGGGTTTTAATGGTAGAAAATTGGGGAATTGGGTAGAGTTAGGGCTTTTTAATTATTTGGGAATTTGACCTCGTTTTGGGGTCGGATTTCAAAACAAATGATATACTCGGGCTCGTGGGTGAACGGGTGATCGGGTTTTGGTCCGAACCTCGTGTTTTGACCAAGCGGGCCCGGGGTCAATTTTGGGGTTTTTGGGAAGAATGATTAAAAAGCTATAATTGAGCATTGGAATTGGATTGTTTAGCATTTA